CATATTACTCGATTTACAGAAGTGGAAATGTTAAGTACTTATCTTGTGACTTTGGTAGTGTAACCATTATTTGGTTCCAAAGAGATTACTGAATATAAACGCGACTAGAATGTAAGAAAAATACACTTTAATTACATGTTCAAAATGTATGCCGTCTTCCATCGCGTAATATTCCGGTCTTTTACTTCACATTTCCACTTCTGTAAATCGAGTAATATGTTAGTAAAAATATCATGTAATATATGTTTTGAATTCGTCTCGATGTCCTCTAAAACTGTGAATAAAAAAAAATGTATGTTCCTATTTAAAAAACCCAAGGTGACCTTGACTTTGCCAAGAGAACAAACTGTTTTAAAAATTTGCTTTACTAATATCTATTGTGCACTTCACACCCTGCAAATATTGTCCTAAACATTTTTTCGTAAGGTGGCTGCAAGTGGGAGAAAAATCGTGAGTAGCGTTACAGGTAACACCCTGTATATACGTAGTTGATTCAAGAAAAAAGTATTATGAATGGATATAATAATATTTTATTTCATTCAAATTTAATAAAAATGTAATTATATAAATTTATACGATAAGGAAAATATTATAATGCCCCACTAAAAGCAGATTTTAATTCTTAACTGCAAATATACAGGTAACACCCTGTATACAACTGCAAGCTATTTATACACGTATAAATAATACATTAGATCTAATAATACATTAATAAATTATAAATTAGTTCTTATACTATATTACTTTTTGTTGTAATTCGTCGATAAAGTGGTTAATTATCATTTATCCTGTCATATACAATATACTCGTACATATAGAAAGAATCACAGTTTTCAATGACTTGAAATATGTTATCAACGACATCATTCGGAACAATTTTCCGTGCACATACGATCACCTTACTAAATATATATAATAGTACTGGGGTTTAACTTTAGAGATAGTCCCAAAACAATGGAATGCCCTGTTTTAATGAATATAAACAAGAAAAATATAATTTTATACACAAAAGTTAAAAAATATAAAATAATACTTTTTTACATTCTACTTCATTTATGCGGAAGTTAAAGCAAGGACTTTTTAAGTTCATAACATCCATTCGTCAAACTATTAAACTATGTTTTGTGTCGTAAACAGAATTTGTCATAAATATTTTACAGATCCTATTTTCCGAAAATGAAATGATATATGACATAAATTTATTCTATGTTATTTATGTATTTTTTTAAATAGAATCGTTTTCTTCTTGGTTGTACCATTAATTCTTTTTTATTCTAATGGTTATACCATTACTTTTGAAACACCTTGTATTCAATATGTTATTTAAAAAATGGTACTGATTTAATGCATCGCTGTTTGAACAAATTTTTAGATCGACGGTGAACCAGTGGTAGGAAGTCCATCAACGATTTCGCTTCGCTTCAAAAATCCGTTGAAGAGAATGCTAACAGAGTGCAAATTCAATTATGCTGGACCAGGACTCTCGAGGAACAAAACGTTGATGTTCAGAGACGTCGAACCAGAAGAGGATGTGTATGTGGAACACCAGTTGGTTCCTCAGAAACCTGGACCACAGAAGATTATTGCTACTTTTACTTCGAAAGAACTCGTTGACATCACAGGCTCCGCTGCCATTGATGTCCTCGACGAGGACGAGTGAAGTCCTTAAATCTTACAATTTCTCTATCAACCGAAATCCTTCTCACATAATTTTTAAATCGTAACTCAAAGAAAAATAGTATTGATAAATTACATATTAGATATACTTAGATTAATATCACCAAACGAGTGCAATAAAATTTGTATTTAAATTAGTTGTAGTATACTTTAAATATCGCGAATGTTTTAAATGATGAGTTGACATTTCTTATTTTTACATGGAATGTAAAGCTTTAACAATCCATCGGTTTATATCGAGAATATTCTAGTTACTTGTAATTCGATGACTGCTAAAATTCAGCGTAAATGAACATCTGTTTGGTCACAGTGGGCCATTTCCGGTGGATGACGAACGAATTAAAATTACGTTACTCAATGGCACGCTGTTCGAATGCAGAGGCAAAAGGATTACGTAGCTGGTTTTTAGACAAAGGTTGAGATCACACTTCAGAGGAGATAGGGATTACGTAATCGAAGAAAATAGCGAAGATGTAAAAATAGCTGGGAAACGAATTGCCTCTCATGTAGACTGTGAATAAATTTATGTTTATACGTGAAGTGAAGAACAATTAGGAATTTGTATCATTAATAGTTTAATTGTCATTAATAGTTTAAGTGAAATTTGCAGGAAAATGTGTTCAGAATTTAATTAAGTAAAAAGTAATTGAAAATTAAAGAAAACTGTGAAAATCGCACTCGCCTGTTGTAATTTAAATATCAAAGTGATACGTTACATATTCGTTACTCATGCAATACTGTGCGTTCGAATTTTAATACTAATTGTCCGATCACGCAATATAGCGTGCTCAATACTCAACGCCTACACGTTGCGGCGGACAGCAATTTACATCAAATTTACATTATCAAACCACTGACTTTGATTTCATCATAAACATGCTATTCATACAACTTAATTAATATTTAATAAGTTTGTTATATACCACCGAAATTTATTGATTGATTTTAATGCATTCCGCATAAATTTGAATATTTTGTAAGTAAAAGTTACTAAAATATTAGATCTTTGGAAAAGTTACATATGCGTGAATATTTTTTTAATTGAAGATTACACGTTTTTTTTAAATATTATAAAAAATGTTTTTTATATCGTAATCGATATAATTGTAGGTTAATAGAGTTATTCTATTAATTTTCCATGATAAATTTCTGTTAATGAAATTGTTTGGAAGATTAGTGTTTTGAACGAGTTCGCGTTCATGTGAATAAATATACACATACTATTATGGTGGCCATATTTGAAGACATAAAGTCAATTTTATTTAGAAGAAACGTGCTTATTACTTGGTTGTATATGAAAAAAATGCAAGGAAAACAAATTGTAATTATTCCTTTGTATATTTGTACACGAAATTGCTTCAACCTTAATAAATAAAATAAATTATATAATTCTTCTCAGTTTTAAATTATTTGTTTATTTACAGAACAACAGTTCTTTTAATTAATAGTGTATTGACACTTTTGTTTAAATAAAAATTTAGTATAGGACTATTTATCAATACTAATAAGATCCATTTATTTAATAATAATTAAGTGAAGTCAAAAATGTTTATTAAGAGAAGAATTGCAATAGTAAATGAAACTGCAAATCAATTTTATTTTTGGTATAATTAATAATAAGAAACTACTTGAAATTATTAACATCATCTGTCAAAAAAGAAATTGTAATAAGAATTAAAATTGAAAATGTATCTTATAATATTAACTATAATAAAAAAACACTGATATTTTCAATACAACTAATCTAAAATAAACTTTAAAAAAATTCTACAAACAAATACTTTCTACATAAGCATATAACAACAAATTATGTATTAACAATAATTTATTTAACAAAAAAACGCAAACTAGAAAATACAAATAACAAAACAACATTGATACAAACAAATAACGTACACAAAAGTAACAATCACAGAACAACGTCACAAGTGACTGTGAAATGCAGACACCAAAAAACAATGAAACAAACAATTCCAAAAACTAAAGGTAACAAATTTTTTCTGGAAAATATAGAAAATTGTGCAGTTTCGTTATCCTGAAACCTATTCTGAAATCTGCATGAATTGCTTGAAATTGTATGAACGCTATCAGTCTTTCCCATCGAATCGTCCGTTTTTTGTACTAAGAAGTGCATTAAATATCCCACGTCTTTTGAAAGAACTGTATCTGACAATGTTCCGGAAATTTTTAATTCTACTTTTCCGCAAGTGCTTTCGTAAGACCCGAAAATTTCGCAAACATCCGAAGACTCATCATCCTCTTGCCTCAACGCTTCAAATATCTGAACGACGCCATTTTGGTCACTTCCATTCTTTCTCGCGAAAATGGAATCGACGCTACGAAAATGGAATTGACGCTGCTGCTTTTAGACACGCAACGCGGTTTCTCCTTACAAATTTTATTCACACGCTTCGATCGTGTTTCAGCCTTCAGATCGTTCCTCAACTTCCGTTTGTAGATGTCGACAGCTTTGTAAATATTACGAATTCTGATAGCGGTCACATGAAAAGCCGCCATCGTTTCGCTTGAAATCACTTTAGTCGCTGATGTATGTGCATGTTTCATTACTGTTTCACGTTCCGGAGAAAAAGCGGAAGTGAACGTTGACGCACTCGATTCGACGAAGCGTAACTCGTTCAACGCATCATTTTTTTCGCAGTTAGACTCTTGAATCTGATTCAACAGTTGACGGAAGAAATTGTCACATTTTTTCGAGGAATTTTCGCTGTCGTCAAATGTTGTTTCGATGGATTTCGATGATTTGTACGATTCTTTTCGCAAATTCTTTTTGCGGAAATTTTTACGATCGACCTGGTCAGCCATGGATGTAGAAAGAGAGGAGACTATTATGGTTTCCATGGAATTATTATTGATCGGATGTGCCACCGTCATGGAAGAAACGTTTATGCCTTTGCTGCTTGTATTTCTCATGTAATATAATTCCGTCTGTGTTTCTGTAACTCGTAGCTCTTTCAACGGAGTATTGTTTTGCAGAACAGTCTTCAAAGTTTTTGAATCTTTAATTTGAAAATTGGTTTGCGAATAGACGTCCTTGTTACTTTTTTCGGTACATGATGCAGCGTCTTTCATTTCCGGTTGCGGAGAACCTATTAAATTTCTTTCGTGATTTACGATTTCGCCTTCTGCTCGGAGCTTAACCGAAAAAAGTGAAATGAACCATTTTTAATCGCGACGTAATTAGTTTCTAAATTGGAGCAATTTTGATTTTTCGAAAATTTGTTGCTCAGGATTTGCGATTATCTCATGAAAACCTTGACACCCCACGCAGTCCTAAACCGTAAGATATAGACATGCGCAGTAAATGTTTACAAAGAAAGTAATCAAAGAAAAAGTAGTTGAAGCATCCACAATGATGGCGTAATTAGTTTTTATATATCCCTTAAAATGTGTCCCTTAATGAGGATTTTACTGTACTATCATTGTAAGAGTACACATATAATATTCTTCTGCCTTGTTTTCGAATATGTGTACGTCTCAGCGTAACTCACGGACATGTTTCTGCGTTATAATGTGATTGTACACGTATGGCCGTTCCTTATCGTATCGTGATTGATATCTGTCGATTTATTCTTTTCGGATTCGCTTTGTTATTTTACGTGGTTAGTTGAAATGGTGAACGAAGTAGGTATCGCTTCAGACATAATAAAATACAAAATTATTATTAATCGATAAAATGTAATAATTTGCTCGATAACGAAGTAAGGTGATCGCAATTGTGCCTACGTTTATGTATTGACGTTCCATGTATTGAAGAAAAGTCATAGCAGCACCCAGAATATGGCCAGAATCCTCTTTTCTGGTTTCATCCCTTGAAAAAATAGAATTAATTCAAACTAAGAATTGTCGGTTATTTAACGCTTTGACTCGTACCGGTAGGGGGTGTTACGGACGATCCGAACACTTCGGCAGCTTGGACACCTGTGACGCTTATCAAGTTCAGAATGATAGGTAAACCACGGACCAATCATGTCAGTGCACCAATACAAGGCAGCTTAAACAATACCAATGACCGTAAGTTATCAATGATAGGTGATGTGTGTACCAATCAGTTATCATGTAATCCACCATTACCGGGGAACTACGTTATCCGGCATTGTAGCGGCGGCTCCCTGTTACGCCTCCCCTTGTAGATTCGCCATAGGGGCAGTAGCGTTTTGGGTGGGGCTCAGGATGCCGTGCATGCTGCCCCAGAGTGCACGGCGGTGCCTTGGTAGTCCAGATACCGCCATAAGATTAGCTTGGTTATATGGGAAAGGTCTTTCTAACCTCCCTTGGGATGATACTTGTATTAATGGCGCGGGGGCCCCAGTCGTGTTCTTAGAGAGTTCTTGGGGTCCCCTCATGTGCCGAGGAAGGACCACCAAGGTGGTTTTAGTTGGTAAAAATCCAGTATAACCCCGCAGCCTACCCCAGGTGTACGAGGTAATCTTTTGAAGATTTCCTCCACGTAAAAAAAAATCCATACTTGTATTTGTAATATCGACAATTTTGATTTAAATTTTTAATTTTGCAATTGTTTATTTAACAAATTATTATTACATATATTCAAATTTATCATTTTTATTGACTTTTATGCGTTACAAGATTTTATTTCATTATTACATTTTTATATGATATTAAAAGATTATATATTCTTTTTAATATTATTTAAAATTTTTGAGTAAACGTTCATTAAATTGTTATTCTATGCATTGAAATTCGTTTCTGTTAAAATATAATTGAGCAAGCGAGCCGAAGGCGAGCGAAGCTCTTATACTTGACATTGCAACTTCTTTGTCCGCGTTTTTCTTTTGCACCACTCAACCAATTCTCGTTAAATTTTGCATGCACATGCGTATGTACATCCAGATGGACATAGAAAAAAAAATTTAAATCGGACTTGCCACGAACGAATAATCACCGAAAAAACTGATCCTAAAAAGTGACGGTCCGAACATGCATATAAGGAAAATAAAAAAATGAATATTTCGGCACATTGTCGACGTAGTATGGTTCCTGAGGCATTTAGTAACAAATTTCTATCAGGGTTTGATGCGTTTTGATGCCTAATAAAGCCAGGAAATCAATTTTTGTCAAATTCGATCCAAAACGGTACAGGTGGCGCCATTAAGTACTTCTCAGGGTCAGAAATCAATCTGTGACCTCTCTGGAACCTATATGATGTAACAAGTACCTCCTAAAAGCGCGAGAAAAGAAAATTAAAAAAAAGGTCAAAACGTGGACTAAAAAATTGGCGTCCATTTAGCGGTGAAAGTTGGAACTACAAAAACATAAAACTGCGATTTTCTAAAAAATTAGCAAACTTTAAGTACTTCCGAGGCTCAGAAAGTGTTATGTGATCGCATTAGAAGCAAAATAATGCAACAAAAGCTTCCTAAAGGCTTTAATAAAGAAAAAAAAAAATGTCATTTTATGGAGAAAATTTGTGGCGCCATCTAGCGGCGAAACTGCGAACTAAACTGAAAAACCGTATGTCCGAATACGCGTTAAGGGGTCAAATAGAAATTGATTTTCTGGGCTTAACAGGCAAAAAAATGATTAATTTATTCAACAAAAATTGCTTTAAAATGTATAAAGAAGCATAACACGTCGTCAAAGTTACGAGATATTACTTTTTATATTTTTCCCTAACGCGTATTCGGACATACGTTTTTTCAGTTTAGTTTGCAGTTTCGCCGCTAGATGGCGCCACAAATTTTCTCCATAAAATGACATTTTTTTTTTTCGTCTGGATAAAATGACATTTTTTTTATTTTCTTTATTAAAGCCTTTAGGAAGCTTTTGTTGCATTATTTTGCTTCTAATGCGATCGCATAGCACTTTCTGAGCCTCGGAAGTACTCAAAGTTTGCTAATTTTCGAGAAAATCGCATTTTTATGTTTTTGTAGTTCCAAGTTTCACCGCTAGATGGACGCCAATTTTTCGTCCATGTTTTGACCTTTTTTTTTAATTTTCTTTTCTCTCGCTTTTAGGAGGTACTTGTTACATCATATAGGGTCCAGAGAGGTTACAGATTGATTTCTGACCCTGAGAAGTACTTAAAATTCGGTATTTTTCGAGAAAATAGAAATTTTAGTTTTTCGTAGTTCCGTCGCTCACCGGTAGATGGCGCCACCTGTACCGTTTTGGACCGAATTCTAAAAAATATTGATTTTCTGGCTTTATTAGGTATCAAAATGCATCAAACCCTAATAGAAATTTGTTTCTAAATGCCTCAGGAACCATACTACGTCGTCAAAGTGCCGAAATATTGGATTTTGCAGGTGCAGTAGACTTGACAGGCGGCTCATGTACGTATCGCAATGCTGACACAAAATAATTAATTACTCATTAC